TCGTTGGTTCAGGCTGTGAAGGGGTGAAGCGTATGGGAACTGCTGAGTCAGGGCCTGAACTTCTGATTGATCACCTGAGGTGAGCTTTGAGTCAGCCAGAGGAGCACAGGTGAAGGTAGTTTACCTGTGCTGCTGGAAGGGGTGGAGCCTGGCTCCTAGACCTATTTAAGAGCTGGCTACCTGGGTGGAGGGTTCTTTTTTGGAGATCTGTTCTGCTGTTTGTTTGTAGGTGAGTCTGGGTCGTTGGTAAGTTTTCTTTGTAGTTTTTTTTTTGTTTTTGTAATCTGTTTTGTTGTTTTCTGTTGTTTTGTTGTTTTGGGGTTTTTTTTGTTTGTTTTGTATTTATAGCGTCATTATATTCGTTGTATATACTGTGTCTGTATGGTATATTTTGATGGGCTTGATGGTCTTGTTGCTCAAACTCTTCTTTATATCTTGTTTGTTTCTTGTACTTTGTGGGGTTGTGACTTTTTAAGTTAATGGGATGTGGTTTTGTAGGTAAATTTTCATTAAGGGTCTTTGTTCGGTAGTAACCTATATTCTCAGCTTGGAGAACAGAACAATTTATTTGGGTATGTCAGTGGCCCTTAACAGAGGATAAGTTACTGCATTTACATGAGCTATTTTGAGTACATTTAGCTGCTAGTCACATAGTGCCTACTACCGGCTTTTAGTATACTCCCGTCTTTGTTATTCACAAGAAGAGCAGAAAATGGAGGTTTTTACAGGACTTGTGTCCTGTCAGTGCAGTAATCGAGCCCATGGGGGTGTTGCAGCCTGGTCTTCCTTCGCTTTCGAAATTATCTTCAAATTGGTCCATAGCAGTTATTGATTTAAGGGACTGTTTTTTTGTGTGTGATTTTATTTTTTACCATTTTACTTCATCTGAAAGATGCACTATGATTTGCTTTCTCAGGGTCTTCCATCAACCAGCAGAGCCCTGCTCGGCAGTGTTACTGAACTGTGTTACCACAAGGAATGCTTAATAGTCCAACCATATGTCAGTTGACTGTAAGACATGTATTACAACCAGTGTGAAAAGCTTAGTCTTGTGTTCTTGGTTCATGTTGTGAAGGGGTGGAGTGTATGGGAACGACTCAGTCACAGCCTGAACCTCCGTTTGGCCACCTGAGGTGAGCAATGAGTCAGGCAGAAGAGCACAAGTGAAGGCAAGTCACTTGTGCTGCTAGGAGGGGTGGAGTCTGGCTCTACCTCTCCTAGACCTATTTAAGAGCTGGCTACCATCTGATCTGCTTCGTTGGGGTTTTGTGAGTGAGCCCGGGGTGTGGATGAGCTTTCTATGTATTCTCTTTGTTATCATAATCTGCTTTGTTTAAATTTTTTATTTTGTAATTATACCATTTTAATATTCATTGATTATACACAAGGCTGCAACCATCAGTAAGCCATCTGTCGTCTTCATTTTCTAATGGTTTGTCCTTTAAGTCTAGTTGGCTGGAATATTCAGCCTCAGTTGTTTCCAGGCAATCAGGGAATACTTGTTCTCTAGGAGTTCTGCTAAGTAAAGATGCTGGGTTGACAATTTTAGCTACAGTTATTTCTACATCTTCCTGTTCTACCAGGGTGGCCTGGTGTTTTGGGAACCTTTGGGGTGAGAGCCAGTGTCCTCCTTTTACCTCCAGTATGGTAGGTACTGTGTGAATTATTACAACTGTTTTTCTTTGGCCCAGTCTAAGTTTACAGGCTTCTTGAATATTGAACACTAATACAGACTCCACCATCAGGCATCCTGGCCATCCCTCACTTGTTTCATCAAGCTGTTTGGACAAGTGTGCCTCTGCCCTTCAGTAGGGTCCAAGGTTTTGGGTGAGGACTCCAAAAGCTATTTCCTGCTTTTCATGCAAGATCAGCCTGAAGGGTTCAGTCATGTCTGGTAGCCCCAAGGCAGTGGCCTTCGTGAGTTCTTGTTTCAGCTGGCAGAATGCCCTCCTTGCCTCCCCATCCCATATAATGTTTTTTGATATGATTTCAAAAGAGCATAAAGAGGCTTTACCAGTAGTCCGTAGTTGTGTATCCACAGTCAGCACCATCCTGTCATCCCTAAGAGTGTGCAGAGTTCCTTGGCAGTCTGCAGCTCAGGGGTTTGGCAGGTGGCTTCTTTCCTGGCAGTCCTTAAGGTATGAAGTTGAGCTGTAATCTCATATCCCAGGTACATCATTTGCTGCTGAGCTGCCTGTGTTTTCTGTGGCTCAGTATCAGTGTTTTCTCTGACTCTATGTCCATTAAGTCCAAGAAAGTGTAACAAGCTTACTGTCCAGGCAATGCACTGTTCCCCCGACTCTGTGGCAACCAGAAGATCATCCATATATTGCAGTAAAAACCCCCTTTCCAGGTGGTCACTCCCATTGTTCTAAGTCTTTGGCAAACTGGTTCCCGAACAAAGTAGGGCTGTTTTTAAACCCTTGAGGAAGTACCATCCAGGTGAGCTGCGTTTTTCTTTCTGAATCAGCGTTTTCCCATTCAAAGGCAAACAACAATTAACTTCCAGGACTCAGAGGCAAGCAGAAGGCGTCTTTTAGATCCCATACGGTAAACCAATACAACTCACTGGAAAGCTTAGTAACCGGAGTATACAGTTTTGCCACTAGAGGGTGTAAGTCCTCTATTAATTTGCTAATAGCCCTTAAAACTTGTCTAGTCTGGTAGCTCCTATCTGGTTTCTTAACTGGCAAAATAGGAGTACTGTGTCTTGAATCGCACTCCACTAACAACACATTTCACAAATTGGTCAATTACCATGTGAATTCCCTTTCTATCTGCTCATTGTAGGGGATATTGTTTACCTGTACTGGCTGAGCTCCTGGCTGTAGTCTAATTTGTACTGGGGAAGCCAATTTTGCTCGTTCCAGGGCCTCTGCTGCCCATACCCCTGGATAAACCTGATTTTGCACCTCCACCAGGATTTCTGTTCCAATAGGAGTGGTGGTCAGGGCTAGGCTAAGTACCTTGACTAATTGGTCCTCTTTTACCTTGAGCTCAATCCTTCCTGACTCAAATTTTATCTCTGCCTCTAATTGTTCCATTAAATCCCGTCCCAATAGGGGCTTTGGAGAATTTGGCATGTACAAAAACTTATGTATTCCCACCTGTTTTCCCAATGAGAATTTTAAGCGTTTTAGGAAGAATGCCTTTCCACTTTGGCTCCACTTACAGTAACTAACTCATCATTAGTTGGGGTTAAAGATGGTTTTTAAAACTGAATATGTAGCTTCAGTATCCACCAAAAACTCCACACTGTTGCTGATTTCCTAGTCTTATTTTAACTAGTGGTTCCACTAGTCTTGCCCTCAGTTCTTCCTTTTCTTTGATTTCTCAGTGGGCATTTATTTTTCCAGTGTCTCTTCTTCCTGCAGATGGCTCACTGATCCTTTCCTAAGGATTCCATAGGTCTTTCAGGTTTTGTTTCCCCAACTTTCCAAAGAGCTGCCACTAGTTTTATTCTGTCCTTCTATCTTCATCCTCTCTGTTGCTAAACACCCTTCAAGCCTCATCCAACAGATTTTTTCCAAATTCCTACTTTCCGTCAATTTTAACTTTTATAGTTTCCACCTTATATCTCCTGCTGACTGTCCTATAAAGAGGGAAATTAATTGCTGCATCCCTGTCTCTGAGCCCGGGTCTAAAGGTGCCTGACTTCTCATAGTGCTCCTTAATTTATCGAGGAACTCAGATGGGGGCTCCTTAGGTCCCTGACTGGTAGCATGTAGAGCTGACCAATTAATTGTTTTAGAGATTGATATCTCCATTCCCCATATACTTCCCAACAATTGAGTGTCTCAGGCTCACAATCTTCCTGATGCTGTTGCTACAACACACTTCCATACAATGTCTGTTACCAACCTATTGTTTTTAGGTATGTTGTGTACTTTTTCTATGGAGGTCGGAGGGCAATGTTTCCGGAAGTTAACACATTTGTTCTGTCCTGTGCTAGGCTCTCCCCTACCTTGCATAATTACCTAATGCCTGTGCCAATTCTACCCAAGTCGGAATGCCCCAGTTACAACTTTACTCTGTTCAGCAGTTTTCTTTGTGAAAAACAACTTATCCTACACTACATACAGAAATACTGGAAATTTCTACTGCAAAAAACACCATCTGCCTCTCACATCCCACACGTGCTGTGTGATCTCCCTCAAGACTATCTGCTCCTTAACCTTTCCTGGTACTGAGGTCAGGCTGACAGGCTTGTAGTTCCCCAGCTCCTTCTTACAACCCTTCTTGTAGGTAGGAGTCTCATGGGCAAGCCTCTGGTCTTCTGGGATCTCTATGCATGATCAGGAACAGTGATAGATGATGGAAAGAGGCTTGGCTATCACCTCCACCAGTTCCCTCAGCACTCTCAGATGGATTTCATCTGGCCCTATGGACTTGTGGCAGTCTAGGTGGAATAGTAGGTCTCTGTTTCCTCCTAGGTTTATTCTGCTCTCCATCTGAGACTTTCAGGTCAGGGGGTAGAGTACCCTGAAAGTACATTAAAGTTTCAGTGGGATTTACGGGGCAGTTTAATTGCAGCTAGGGCTCTTTTGGTAGCACCCTGTTTTTACACAATAAGGGATCTCTGGGTGGGTTTGGCATCACCCAGAAACAGGTTGTGGCACAGGAAAATGTGCTGTGGAAGTACCCAGACCCTCCCACCATGGAGACACTATGGGACTGGCAACACCATAATGTACTTGAATGCCATTGGCCATGGCAAGGAGTGGGAATGTTGATGAGAAGAGGCCTGCAGCTCATGCCAGACTGTGAAGAGAAATGGGGGTGCCAAACTCCGATGCTCACCTTCAGACTGTGTGTCACTGTAGGGACTCTGGGGCTGACTCGAAGCTGTTGGGAGGGAACCTAGAGCCGGGGAGGGCGCGCCGGGGGACATCACCGGGGCTGCCGGGTATGTGAAGTGCCTAATGGGGGAGGCACGCTGGAGCGGCCGGGGCCGTCTGGGCCAGGACCCGTGGGGGGGCGGCTGCCGGCTGCCGGCTGCCATGTCTGCGCGCCGGCGTTTGATATCTCCATTTTCTCTCCAGCTGCCGGCAGTGCCGGCACCGTCTCCGTCCCCGCCGCCTCCGCGCCCTCCGCCCCTGCATGCAGCCCCGCGGCAATTCCGTCGCGCACGCCCAGCCGCGAAGCCGCCTCCTGTCATGAGGAACTGCAAGATGGTGCGGGTGGCCAGCGTGTTGGGGCTGGTGATGCTCAGCATCGCGCTGCTCATCCTTTCTTTTATCAGCTACGTCTCGCTCAAGAAAGACAATATCTTCAGCGTTCCTCGTGCCGCCAGCCCAAGGGGGCCCCGCATGTACATGTTCAGGTGAGGGCTCGGCTCGGTATGGCTGCCACGGCCCGGCACGGCTCGGGGACAGGGAGCCGCCCCCCACTCACTCCCGGGCTGGCACTGGGGTAGTCCAGGCGCACTCGGAGGGAAGACCCAGGGAAGTCCCCACGGCCTCAGCGGCGGCTCCCCCCGCGTCGCGTTGCGCCCAGCCCTGGGCCTGCGGTAAGCGGGCGGCCCCCGGGACCGGAGGACACCCGGGCCGCGAGTGTCAATCTCGGTGCCTCGGAGGTGCTGCAACGTGATCACGTCACAACACGGCTCGGTACGGCCTGGCACGGCCCGGCGTGACTTAATACAGTCCTGCACGACTCAGCTTGGCTCAGCCTGGCACGGTTCAGTCCAGCCCGGCCCTCGGGAAGCGGCGCGGCTCTGCCGGCGCTGTCCGTGGTGCAGATGGCGGTCGGACTTGACTGGTGACGGGATGTGGTCTGTGTGTGTCCGTGTTTGTGTGTCCCTGTGTCTGTGTGAGTCTGTGCGCACATTTCCAGGTCCCAGTTTGCGCTGAATTTCCTGGACCCCTCATTTGTTCCCATTACGAACTTGCTGGGCCACGAGTTGCAGGAGAAGCCCTCCAAGTGGGTGTTCAATCGGACGGCATTCACAAAGCAGAAGTAAGTGCAGAGCTCATCCCGCTTGTCCCCCTCTCATTTTCTCTAGGGTTGTCTCCTACTCCTGAGTATTTGAAACAGTACAATCAGGGACTGCTAAATACTCTGAATTCTGAGTAATTTGCCATCAGTGAGAGACAAAGGCTGAACCAGAGCATTTTCCTTTATGTTTTCATTTTGGAAGAATTTATTAATTCAGAGCGGGACACCAAGGTGCAATACGCATCCTTCTACCAAATGGAACGTGACCCAGTTTCCCAGAATGCAAGTAACATTGTTATTTCTTCAAGATCAATAGCTGGTTGCTTAAAACTCGAAACAAATCAGACTGTAGCAGCCATGAAGAGTCATGCTCATGGAGGGCAAAACATGCCCAGCAGTTCTGAGCAAGTGTAGTGGGGCTTCCAGCTCCACTCTAGGTGTAGGGTGGGCAGACGGCAGTTCATTGGGGGCCACCAAGCACAGACCCTCCTGAGATGCCTTCACTGCACATTGACTTTGCCTCCTGTTTGCAGGTTCATGGCCACATTGCACTGTTGCAATAGAAAGAATTTCATGGTTCCTTAAGCTTTCTCAAAGTTTAATGAGAAACAAGATGGGCTTTTATTTTCTTCACTGTGATGTGAAAATGGTGATGTCTTCCCAGCCTCTGTTATTTAATGGCTTTACTGCAGTATGTATGTATACAGCAATAAAGATGTAAAAGAAAAGGAAATCCTTTAACCGTTTAATATGGCTACTACCATTTTGGATGCTGATTTTATCTGCCTGCCATTTTAGAGGCCACATTGTGACTCTGCTCGCATGTCCTATCTGAGGAGCCCACAAGCAGCTGTGGGCCATTGAGAGGAGATGGCACCCTGCTTGCTCCATCCTTTCCCTGAGATCTCCCAGGCTGGTGTGACAGCATCCACCCCTTGGTATGGCCTAATTCTTGGCATCATTGCTTTATCCTTAATCATAGAATCATAGAAGCATAGTATAAACTGTGTTGAAAAGGATCTCAAAGATCATCTAGTTTCAACCCCCCTGTCACGGGCAAGGTCACCAACCACTATACCAGGCTGCCCAGAGCCACGTTCATCCTTGCCTTGAATGCCTCCAGGGACAGGGCATCCACAACCTCTCTGGGCAACCTGATCCAGTGTGTCACCACCCTCTGTGTGAAAAATCATAGAATCACCAAGGTTGGAAAAGACCTACAAGACCATCCAGTCCAACCATTCACTTGTCACCAATAGCTCTCACTAAACCATGTCCCTCAACATAAAGTCTAAATATTCCTTGAACACCTCCAGGGTTGGTGACTCCACCACCTCCCTGGGCAGCCCATTTCAGCACCTGACCACTCTTGGAAAAGCAGCATTTCCTAACATCCAGCCTGAATCTCCTCTGGCACAACTTGAGGCCATTCCCTCTAGTCCTATCACTAGTTATATGAGAGAAGAGGCCAACAAATAACTCCGTGTCACCCCACTGATGATTTGAGCTAATGCCTCAGGATCTGCCTTTGCATTTGTCTGTCATCCATAACCCATAATCAGGGGACCTAGTAGGACTCCATTAATGCTTAGACATTGGAGGATGCGAGCTGGAAGAAAGGTTGTTTTACATAAACGAGAAAATAGAGTGGTATTGATTTTCTAATTTTATGCCCCACTAGGAAAATTCCTGAGCAGGGTTGGTGGGATTTTCTGTTTTTTGTTGTTGTTGCTGGTTTTTTTATGTTTGTTTTTTCATTTGTTTGTTTTTGTTTTTAAGTATTCCTAATAATGCTTGTGAAAATGTTGGCATGTTTACTCAAATAAGACATTAAGGAATTACGTTTACATAAAGGGAGACAGTGACTGTCATTTGTTTTGTGACTCAAAACTTCCTAATGAGAATATATGGGATACACACATTTAAAAAATCAACTGCATTACATTTAATACGATGGAATATTCTGAACTTCTTGGTTTTGCTTCAGATATCTCATGACAAACAAAATATCCATCATTACCATAAATCCATGGTCCAGTACTGAGAGTGAAATGTGTGCAGAGAGCGGGAGCAGAACAAAACCCATTCACCAGGCATGTGTCACAGCACAGACAGAAATGTGTTTCACACTACACTTCAGGAAGGTGGATGTGGGAAATGTGTCCTCTTAGTTATATGCCTCACATTTAAACAGAGAATGCAATATTTTAATCCTGACACTTTTCCAAGAGCCACAGACACATCTGTAGCTGGCATCAGTCAGTACAGCCCAGTAAAACCAAGCAGAGCACTGGATGAGGAGCTCCATCATTCCTATCTTTTTATATTAATTTTAAAGTCATTACATCACTGCATTGCTCAGTAAATTGCTTTATAATATTCTATAAAGAAAAAAATAAGTATAGCTGGAAATAAATCTCTCCAACGCAGACAAAAGGAAAATATAACTCAGTGACTCAGTGTTTTCTTTTTTCTATTTTATTTTAGGCAAGAAATCCTTCAGTATGTCGATGTCATAAAAAATTTTTCTTTGACCAAGAATAGTGTCCAGATTGGACAGCTGATGCATTATGATTATTCCAGCCATAAGTATGTTTTTTCTATAAGTAATAACTTCAGATCGCTGCTTCCAGATGTGTCACCGATCCTGAATAAGCATTACAACGTTTGCACTGTGGTTGGAAACAGTGGAATCTTGACTGGAAGTCAGTGTGGGCAAGAAATAGATAAATCTGATTTTGTTTTTCGCTGCAATTTTGCTCCAACTGAGGCATTCCAAAAAGATGTTGGAAGGAAAATCAATCTCACAACCTTCAACCCCAGCATCCTGGAAAAGTATTACAACAATCTTTTGACCATTCAGGATCGCAACAACTTCTTTTTAAGTTTAAAAAAGCTTGATGGAGCCATTATTTGGATTCCAGCTTTCTTCTTCCACACATCAGCAACAGTCACTAGAACACTGGTTGACTTCTTTGTTGAGCATCGAGGCCAACTAAATGTCCAATTGGCATGGCCAGGAAATATAATGCAGCATGTTAACAGGTGTGTATTTCTCTGACATTTAACTTGTCAAAATATGTATTTCTCTCTGTACAAATGCAATTATATTTATTTTCCTAGTCATGCCTAATCTGAAAGGCATTGCCTAGCCAGTCAGGACCTGACACTGCTTACAGAGCAAATACAGTTCCATCATTGCTTTAGTAAGTGTTCCAGGGTCTGTGCCATCATGGGACTGCTCCCACCATGGCTTTTGCAGAGGCAGGAGGAGTGCGGAGGAGTTGAATGAGATTCTGCATAAGAAAAGTACCATTTATGGAAGAAACTTGCTCTCAGGTAGCAAACGGTGCCAGCAGACATCTGCAGAGTGATCTAGGCAAATCTATAGCCATTCACACAAGGATAACATTGCCACATCTTTAGCAAATGCACATGTAACCAGGAGTAAGGAGATCTGCTTTTCCAGGTGGAAAACCAAAAACACATGCAGAAGGGGTGGTTTATTTGACACCTGGCCTGATGGTTGCAGATGGGTCCCACCTGTCTCAAAGGGGAAAATGAATCCTAGCCCAGGAGCTGGTAGGGCTTGTTGAGAGGGCCTTAAACTAGGTATGAGGGAGAAGGGGATAAAATGAAGCTTGCTGCCAAAATAGGATGAAGAGATGGACAAGGCATTCTACAAGGAACTGTAAGAAGTTTGCACAATTGCCAGCCCTTGTTCTCATGGGGGACTTCAACTTCCCTGATATATGCTGGAAATACATTACAGCACAGAAGAAGCAGTCTAGGAAGTTTCTAGAGCATGTAGAAGATACCTTCCTGATACAGCTAATAAGAGGTGCTCCACTAGACCTGCTGTTCACAGAGAAAAACTGATGGGAGATGTGGTGGTCGGGAGCTGTCTTTGGCAGAGTGACCACAAAATGGTAGAGTTCTCAATTCTTGGTGAAGTCAGGAGGGAGGCCAGCAAAACTGATACCTTGGACTTCTGGAGGGCAGATTTGAACTGTTCAGGATACTGGTAGGGAGGGTTCCTTGGGATTTGGTCCTGAAGGGTAAAGGGGTTCACAAAGGCTGGACACTTCTCCAGAATGAAGTCTTAAAGGAACAGGACTAGGCTGTCTCTGTGTGCCATAAGATGAGCTGACAGGAAAGAAGACTGGTGTGGCTGAACAGGGAACTCTTTCTGAGGCTCCAGGAGAAAAAGAGTCTACCTCCTGAGGAAGAAAGGACAGGAAACTTGGGGGGAGCAGAAAGAAGCTGTGAGGATATGCAGAGAGAAAATCAGAAAGGCAAAAGCCCAGCTTGAGCTAAACCTGGCCTTTGGGGTTAATAAGAAAAAAAAATTTTACAAATATATTAACAATAAGAATAGGGCTAAGGAGAAACTTTATCCTTTACTGGATGTGGCAGGGAATATGATCACTGAGGATAAGGAAAAGGATGAGGTTCTCCATGCCTTCTTTACATCTATCTTTAAAAGTCAGACCAATTACCCTTGGGGTACTCTATCTCCTAACCTGGAAGTCTGGAAGGGGGAGCAGAATAACCCCCCCCACAATTCAGGTGGAAACAGTTAGAGACCTACTACTCTACCTGGACTGCTACAAGTTCATGGGGCCGGATGGTATCCACCTGAGGGTTCTGAGGGAGCTGGCAGAGGTGATTGCCAAGCTACTTTTCACAGTCAGTGTTCTTGGTCAATTGGAGAGGTCCCAGAGGGCTGGAGGCTTGCCAATGTGACTCCCATCTACAAGAAGGGGTGTAAGGAGGATCCGGGGAACTACAAGTCTGTCAGCCTGACCTCAGTATCAGGAAAGGTTATTGAACAGATCACCTTGAGTGGGATAACACAGCATGTATGGAGTAACCAGAGGATCAGGCCCAGCCAGCATGGGTTTGTCAAAGGCAGATCCTGCTTGATCAACCTGACCTCTTTCTATGATCTAGTGACCCTTCTGGTGAATGAGGAAAAGGCTGTTGATGTGGTCTACCTAGACTTCAGCAAAGCCTTTGACACTGTCTCCCACAGTATTCTGGAGAAGCTGGCAGCCCGTGGCTTGGACAGGTACACTCTTTGCTGGGTAAAGAACTGGCTGGATGGCTGGGCCCAGAGAGTGGTGGTGAATGGAGTTAAATCCAGGTGGTAAGTGGTCACGAGTGGTGTTCCCCAGGGGTTGGTATTGGGGCCTGTCCTGTTCAATATCTTTATTGATGACCTTGATGAGGACATTGAGTGCGCCCTCAGTAAGTTTGCAGATGACACCAAGTTGGCTGGAACTGTCAATTTGCCTGAGGGTAGGAAGGCCCTGCAGAGGGATCTAGACAGGCAGGATTGATGGACTGAGGCCAATGGGATGCGGTTCAACAAGACCAGTCCTCCACAACAACAACCAGGTGAAGGAGCACAAATGTTATGAGGAGTGGCTGAGAGAACTGGGATTATTCAGTCTGGATAAGAGGGGGTTCAGAGGAGGTCTTATTTCTCTCTACAACTCCCTGAAAGGAGGTTGTGGCAAGGTGGAGGTCAGCCTCTTCTCACATATGACTAGTGATAGGACTATAAGGAATGGCCTCAAGTTGCACCAGGGGAGGTTCAGGTTGGATATTAGGAAAAACTTTTCCGAAAGTGTGGTCAGACACTGGAACAAGTTGCCTAGGAAGGTAGTAGAGTCCCCGTCCCTGAAGGTGTTCAAGAAACATGTAGATGTGGTAATTAGGAATGTGGTTTATTGGGGAAATATTGGTGGTAGGTGGATGGTTGGACTGGATCATCTTGGAGGTCTTTTCCAACCTTAATGTTTCTATGATTCTAGGGAGACCTCAAAAGAGAATTTTGATGAGAGTGCTAAAATGGTTTTTCTGCATTCCTGTTCTTTACAGAATGTCCTGAACAGCCTTACCTTACTCAGGTTATCAGCTGTGAGCATTGATTGTCTCCATGCAGTAGCATTTTTGGTGGTCTCCATTCAGTAATATTTTTTTTTTCTTACAACAACCCCATGGTATTACTTGTACCCTATACTAACATGCCTTTGTTTTTATCACAGATACTGGAAAAACAAACACTTGTCACCAAAGCGGCTGAGCACAGGTATTCTCATGTATACCCTTGCTTCTGCCATCTGTGAAGAAATTCACTTGTATGGATTCTGGCCCTTTGGGTTTGACCCCAACACAAGGGAGGACCTCCCATATCACTACTATGACAAGAAAGGAACCAAGTTTACAACCAAGTGGCAGGAGTCCCACCAGCTGCCTGCAGAGTTCCAGCTCCTCTATAGGATGCATGGTGAAGGACTGGCCAAACTGACCTTATTGCATTGTGCCCAAGAACCTAAATCTTGGAGTCCCAAATGATGGTCTAAAATGTGCCCAAATCTGAGTTAAATGTTCTTCAGATACAATTCTAAAAGAAATATATATATATACTCACCCTAATATATTTTCCATAATATAAAGATGCTTTTTAATCACCCTTGTCACCATTCATCAAAGGGTTTAAGCATATTTAGCAATGCAGAAGCATTTATCAAATTCTGTGGATGCTATTCATGCAGCCGCACAGCAAAGGTGAAATAGTTTGCTTTTATACATATGCTATTAAATCTGTTTTAAAATATTTTCATATTTCAGCATTCCACTAAATGCCTCTAAACATCTTAATTTGATTGTTCCTTTCAGATTAGAACTAGAATTATGTTTTTCTCACATATATTGCTATGAGTAGTTCAGCATACGTAGACTTGCCTTGGCCAATTGAAAAAACCACCCCAAAACCCCAGTTGTCACTTACAAGTTCCTCAGTGTGGAACCCCACTTCCACTGCTTGCATATTTTTGTATTTACTGAATTTTACTTTTTTTTTTTTTTTAAGAACAATATGGAGGTCAAAATATGGCTTGTACCTGGCTGTGTGCCCCTCTGTGTGCCCCAGTGAATGTGGAGAACGAGGGGATAGGATTCCCAGCCCAGATAACTGCATAGGAAAGCATCCCCCCAACAGCCCCACTGGCACCAGATCAGAGGGGAGATGGAGTGAGGTTGGGGCAGCCCAATTTCTTAGAAATGACCTTGAGAGGGAAGCGAGCACAGTGGGAATACAGAGAGTAAGAGATGTGATTCCCAGTGTCCTCTTTCACATTGTTAAGTTCCCAGTCAGACAACTGAATTAGTGGTCTCATGTTGCAGTCAAGAACAGATATTTGGGAAGATGCAGCTTTCTAAGTACCTTTGATGGTCAGACTGGTTGCAGAAAAGATAAATCTTAGGGTTGCTTGTGTTTGAAAATCTTGGCCATGATGCCTCAGGATAAGGGAGTCTGTAAAGCAACTGTTTTTCTTATTAAAACAAGTATGCTTCAAAGTATTTTAACATTTTAATATTATTCTGTATGATGCTGAGAACTGATTATACACTGGAAGAAGATGCAAAAGGCAATTTAAAATCATACCTTAAAAGTGCACATTTTAGTGCACAGCACCCACACTTCAGGGGAAAAATGACTGCATCTGGCACACAACCAAATTGGGCATATTCCAGCAGGGAGGAAACTTCACCCCTCTGCACTGGCTATGAATATTGAAAGTTTTAAAGCCATTTTGAAAATGCCCTGTTCTTCCCTATTTTAATTATGCAGCATTTTCTGGCTTTTACTTTAGCAATGGGCATTTGGAGCTGCAAAGGGGCTCAGATGCACTCTGGCACCACCAGCCTGGCACCCACAACTTCAGACATGCTTGTGCAGGAGGCTGATGGCTGCAAAGTTCCTTTCCCAAGGCACAACAATCCCATATCAGCCCTTGGGCACTGCTAACTTGTCTCACTGCCTGCACTCGTCACTGCTCATAGAACAGAGCATGACTTGTAGCAAGCATCCTTAAGGAGACATCGCTGTGAAGCAACACTAGTTCTATGCTGTGTGGTGCTGTGTGATTTATTACTAATATTGCCATTTATTATTTGTGTTGTAGCAGCAGCAGGACAGGGAGCACCCATCTCTGCCAGACACTGTTCCCTGGGTGCCAGAACACACCCAAAAGCAGATAAACAGAAATTTCACAGGGAAGAAAGGGTTCTGCAGCAGTTGTTAATGACATATAGTGATTAGTTATTTCCAGTGCAATTTGTCATTGAGCTGTACTGGAGATACATGCTGGCTAAACCTCCATGTTAGGGTCTCAGCATAGTGCCTGAGGCCACTGGCTTTACCTGGTGTCCCTCAGCCTCAAGGTGCTGTCCAGGTTGTATTGATGGAGGTGAGGTGCCAGCACCTATGTCCAGAAGGAGGTGGGGGGTTGGCTTGTGTCTCAGTGAGGCGATGACCCAAAGGTGCAGACAAAAAAAAGGAATAAGAAACAGAGGCTCCTTGAAGAAACACCTTTTCAGGGCAGAAAATGGTGTTCTGGTTAAAATCGCAAGCATGCTTCTGCCTGGCAAACCTGACTCCCTGCTCTTGGATCTGCCAGTTGCAGCCTTAGTGTCCAGGACAGCAAATCCTCTCTGCATTCATTAACATGTTAGCTAGACTCTTCCTTCCCCTTTGCTTGACCCTCAACCTTCCCTTCTCTGTCTATCGAAATGAATTCCTGATGTTTCAGGGAAAATATTCACTATTATTTCTGAATGTCTAGACAAAAAAATATAGCTAAATGAAAGCACACAATGCAACATGATCAATTATTGCAAGTACAAAACCTTTCAGCTTACAATATTAGGTGAAGCTCTAGGGAAAGGGCTCCTGGTGGCAGCCACGAGGTGATGACACTGCAGGAACATGGGGATGGCCCACAACGGAGATGAGAATAGGGTGGTGATGGTGCTGGGACAGAGCCATCAAGTGGAGAATGGAAGGAAGAGGTGTATATGGAATAGGTTTGTTATCTTTCCTTCTCTTTACATCCTTGTTTTGTGTTTTAGTTGCTTGCATCTTTTCAGTGAATGGTAGTAGGATACGCTAAAAAAAAACAAAAACAAAAAAAAAAAAAAACCACATTTTGGCTACCGGTTTGAATTGTGGAGTATACCAAAAGGCAAGTATTTGTGAAATATAGCTAACTGTGAACAGAGGTTGCAAAAAAGAAAACATTTAGAAAGCACGTCTTCTGTAAATTAATTTCTTTATTCTAATGGCTATACAGTTCAATTCCTGATGGAGTTGTTTTGAATAAAAAGATAAACAATAAAAATATGGCCATAACTGTAATAAAGGGTTAATTATTTAATGGCCGTACTGAAAGCATTATTTGTTTTTAAATGGCTGCTGTTGACAAAGGGCGAGGGTACAGTCTCAGGTGAATAGCATGCAAGGCTGCACATGTTGTGAAACGTGTCACAAGCAGAACTACTGCTTGGTCCGGATCCCTGAAGTCTCTGTCAGCCTCAGAGCAACCAGGATGGGGCCTGCTTTGTACTAGAGGAGTGGATGTGGCCTGCACAGTGTGTGGTGCATGTAAATATGTCATCACATTTGTGAGTTATGGAGCCTGATTCTTGTTGTAATGGGGTGCCATATCCACATCACGACCATCGCTTATGGAGAAAAATGTGATAATTTATTTTGAATCTTTCAGCAATGTTATTGTTGTTCGGTATGAATGTGCCTACAACATTGACTTATGCCAAAACACAATAGTAAATGCATTGACTTCAAATAAAATGTTTTATTGTGCACTGAAAGTCTGTAAAACTCAACTGTCTGATTTTTCCTTTTGTATTTTCTTAATTGCTTGCTGTTAATAGTAATTAATGGCCTGAACTGGAAGGTCTTTCTATGCTGTACACAACAGACTGTCATTTTAATCAATAAGCATTCCATATTGCACAGGTTACACTGGAACTGGAAATATGCTCAAACTGTATGGCAGTATTCCATGAATGCTCAGTGCTAGCAGGACACAGCCCTAGCTCTGCACTAGCCCCAACTGTTCTATGCATGCTGGATGAAGCTGCAGGAAGTCCCCAGGGATGGAAAGCCTAGGGACAAGCTTGGGTTCCTCCCTAGTCCCCTGTGCCCGATGCTCAGTGTTTGCTTTCTCAGTGTATAATCAATGAATATACAGATGCCATAATTAAGAAATATACAAGAAAGTCAGACTAAACAGGTTATCACACTAAAGAAGAACGGATAGAAAGCTTACCATTGTACTGAGATTACCAAAATGACTCCAAGAAGTGCAATCACCAAAAGAGATCCTCCCCACGTGGCAGTCAGCTCTTAAATGGGGTCTAGAAAAGGTGGAGCCAGGCTTCACCCCTTCTGGCAGCACAGGTGAATTGCCTCCACCTGTGCTTCCAGGGCTGACTCATTGCTCGCCTCAGGTGATCAATCAGAGTTTCAGGCCATAATTCAGCAGTTCCTATGCAGACTGTTTAGGGGGACAGGCAGTGGATGTTATCTACCTGGTCTTCAGCAAGGCCTTTGACTCAGCCACATGCCTGCCATACGGATCCCTGGGATCCATATCTGAAGTCCTTGGTTCAGAGATACTCACTGCAGCACCATCCTGTGGATCTAGTCAGTCATTGAAATAGGCTGTCCGGGGAAGTGGTGGAGTCACCGTCCGTGGAGATGATCAAGAACCATGGAGACGTGGTACTTGGGGGCATGGTTAGTGGGCATGGTGGGGATGGGTTGATGGTTGAACTTTATGGTCTTAGAGGTCTTTTCCAACCTTAACGATTCTTGGATTCAATGAAGGCTTTACTGGAAAACTCCTTCAAAAGAGTTTTCAAATGTCTTGTTTGGTGCTCCCTGTATTTCATTATACCCTGCAATAAGCTTAGCGTGATAGGTCAAATTCTGAGCTGTTGTGAAATATTGGGAGACACACAGCATGTAAATAAGCACAGAACTTGGTTTGGGGCAGTTATTCATTAAAATGAATTACACTCAAGTATATCTCACAGCCACTCCTGTTATCTGCAGCACCCTGGCAGGAAGCACAGAGTCTCCTCAGGAGATATTCAAATCTACTTGGACACTTTCCAGTGCAACTTGCTCTAGAGAACATGCTTTAGGGAGTGTCGGACTGGTCGATCTTTGGAGATCCCCTTCAACCCCTGTGATTCTGTGATAGCCCTGAGAGCTGTCATTTTGCTGTGGTATAGTTGATCAATCATTTCTACTCTATTTCTGCACAGTAGACAGTTTACATGTTGAGAGAATGCACTACTTGACTCAGCTCTGTGCAGGTCCTGTAAAGGCTCCCATAGAGAAGCTCTGCTGTAAGCTTTTCGATGCTCAACACAACTGGAAGGAGCATTACTGACTGCTGTTCAGGATTTTTCTCCCCCTAACCACTACTAGAACCTAAAGATGTGCCAAATCAATATTGTCAGCATTTATTGTCTAGCAATAT